TCAATGTGAGAGAGACACACCAACTGGTTACCTCCTGCACAACCCTGACCAGAGCTGGGGACGAACTGCAACTGAGGTACATGCCGTTGGCCGGAATTGAACCTGAGACTCATTGGTCCACGGGCCGACGCTCTAACTGCTGAGCCAAACCGGCCAGGGTGGAACTCTTTTTATCTTTGAGTTAGTGTCACTGAGGGCAAGATGATGTCCATTTCTTTGTAAATGTTCCAGAACTAAATTCGAAAAGGCAACTAGATTCCTTTGTTAAGAGGTTTCCAGTAGAAAAAAAGAAAAAAGTAGCTCTCTAAAGCACTGAGAAAAGAATGCCTCTTTTATTTTTTTTATTTTTTAATTGATTTGAGAGAGAGAGAGGGAGAGAGAAAGAAAGAAAGAGAGAAACATCTACTGGCTGCTTCCCATACATGCCCCAACTGGGGATCAAACCTGAAACCTAGGTATGTGTCCTGACTGGGAATTGAACCCACACCCTTTTGGTGTAAGGGACATGCTCCAACCAACTGAGCCACCAGGCCAGGGCAAGAATGCCTCTTCTGAAGTTGACAGCTAGATTGCTGGTCATCAAAATATTTGTGATGACGATGAGAGATGGGGAATTGGTGCCAGTGCATTAGAAATTTAACTCCAGATAACACAGAGTCCTAAAATAGAATCAAAGAAACATCAATTTCACATGAAAATACTATCCAATTTGTCCCCTTTTCCTTAAATTACCAAATAAATATTCTCCAGGGGAGTGGGGACCCTGCTACCTCTGGGACACCTGTATTACAGCAATTGCTCAGGATGGTTGACACTTGCATCTCAAAACACAATACTCAACACAGTTGAGGAGGAAGGGTGCACATTAGTAATGTAAAGTAAGGCAGGTAAAGCAGATGTTTCCACACACCCAGGAAAAGACTGGTCACACACACACAGCACACTTTACATGAGCTTACACTGATTAGCTGAACACTAACAAGACTCTCACCCACAAACAGGAAGTTTGACCTAGAAGTCAGACTTGGTTTTGGGGTCAGGTCTTCACTCCTTGGATGACTTTGGACAAGTCATTTAACCACTGTAGGACTCAGTTTCCCTTCAGACTTCCTTCCGAATTGGAAGGAAACTTAGAGATGATCTAAACCAGTCCTTAACTTTTACATGACTCTTCTTTGAAGCATCCCCAGGAAGCCTCTCTGCTTGAATGCTGACATTTATTGAAAGGATGCTTGCTCTCTCCAGGAGACTGATGTCATTTTTGAAGAGCTCCGACTGTTAGAGAAGTTCTTCCTCACATATTTGCAATGTGTCTCCCTACAGCTTTCCTCGTGCTAGTAACCTGTAAGGTCAAGTCTAATCTGTGGACTGCTGTGGACAGCTCTCTATGAACTTCCTTTGCTTTTCTCCTTTACCGGCCACAACCACCCCCTCCTCTCCATTGCTCTCACCTACCACATTCAAGATAACGCCATTCTGGTCTTCATATTTTTATGGATGTGGAGTAGAGGGTAACCACTCTGAGGCCTCGGACAGTCTGAATTTGAATACTGGTCCTGTCACTTAACTATGTGACAGTGGGCAAGTTACTTGCATTTCTCTAGCCTGATGTGCTTTCTAAAATGATGATGATGATGATGATGATGATGATGATCAACAGCAGCATACTTATCTCTTAGAGAAGTAGTGAAAGAGGTAAATGAGAAAACACAAGTAAAATGTTTGTTTTTTTATCCTCATCCAAGGAATTTTTCCATTTTTTGTTCAGATAGAGTGGGAGGGAGAGAGAGAAAGAGAGAGACATCTATGTGAAAGGGACACATTGAGTGGCTGCCTCCCGCATGGCCCTGACCCAACCAGGGCTGTGGACAAACTGCAACCGAGGTATGTGCCCTTAGTGGAAACCAAACCCGGGTGTCTCTGGACCGCAGGCCAACGCTCTAACCGCTGAGCCAAACTGGCCAGGGCAGTAAAATGTTTAGTATAGTACCTGGCAATATTACTATTGCTGCAATAATAATAATAATAATAATAATAATAAGTAATAAGCTCTAATAATGAAAATAAGAATAAATTTTAGAACCTGAAGGATTTAGAAATGTTAACCTAGTCAATTCATGACTCCACAAATAAGGTTTGGTTGCTCAGATATGAAACTTTCCATACTTTTCATAGCAATTATAACTTTCAATTCTGTGTTCAATGTCTGACCACACCCACCCACCTACCTAAGAGGGCGAAGACCTTTTGTGTTGTGTTGACTGCTGAATACTTAGTGCCTAAAACAGCGTCCTGTTCACAGTGGTAAGAGAATGGTCAAACACCTTCATATCATAAAAGGGAACTGGGTGCAGAGGGGCTGGAAGGTTTAAGACTGTGCAGAAAGCTCCCAGGAGAGCTGGGACAAGAACCAGAGGTACTGAGCAGGTGACGCGCAGAATTAAATCAAGGTGCAGCCCTAAAGTTTGGTGATTCAGGCAGGAGTACAGATATCCAGTGATCCAGGAGTCAACATTCCCACTAGGTAGCCTAAATGTTAGTTCTTGTTTTCGGGGTGACAAGCCCCAAAGAGAAGGCTGCTTAATATGAAGCCACGGGCGGGTGTGTCCCGGGGCGCGGCGCTAACACCCACGTGCGATGATTCACGCTGGCTGCGCGGGCTCAGGGTTGTTGTACTACTGCGGGACCACACCAGCCGGGGCCAGCGCCAGCAGCAGCGAGAGGAAAACAACCTGTCTCCAGAGAGACAATTAACAAAAAGGTAGGAGACCGGGCCGCCCCTTCCCGGCGCACGTACGCACGCAGCGTGGGCAGAGCCGCGCCCGCCCACGTCTTTCGTGGACACAGCCGCGCAGAGGCCCTGCGTGGTGTGGGTCCCGGCAGCCCGGCGCCCCTTTCACCCGGGCTGCGCAGTCACCAGGGCGGCCGAGCTCCCGCGGTGAGTCGGCCTGGGGGAGGGGTGCAGGGAAACAGCTGCTGTCAGGTCTGAAAAGGGAGGTAGGGGAGCGCGGAAGCGACGACGCCCCGTCCCAGTTGCTCTGTAGGTAGCTTTGTGCCGTGAGCCTTGTGTAATGCGAGCAGCCTGATCCATGTGACCCAACCGAGTCGGTTTACAGGTGGCAAACAGGCCCAAGAGAGGTAAGCTGGTCTAGTACAAACTAATCATTCCTGTGTCTGTTTATCCCTGCCTACTTCGGTGTACGATTTGGGGCGACTTTTAGTAAGAATCCACGTGTTAAAACAATGGAATAATATAAATGATGCTAGAGTCCTTGCCAAGGAAAGTACAATTATAATAGTCAAGGCCAGGGGAAAAGAGAACAGAAATCTGCTGTCCCTCGCGTGAGCTTCCTTCGCCAAGGGCCCTCAGAAAAATAGTGCCAAGCTGGGACTGGAAGCCAGAACTTCGGGCACCCGCTGCGGGGCTGCCTGCCCAGTGAGCCCCTGGACCTTAGAGGGGAATGAAGAAGTGGACAGCCCGCCCAGACTTTGGTTCTTAACCTTGGGATCACTGACCCCTTAGGAATCTGGGTGCCCCTCCCCCCCAGAGGCTCACATAACCTTGCACACAGTTTCAGATTTGACATGAAGCATTCCTGCTGTCAGGAATGACCAAAGGCTATCACTCATTCAGACCAGTTTATTTTCTCCTTTAAAGGGAAACAGCTGGTTACAGAGTATCTGCTGTGAGTCCAGGCAGTGTCCTGGTGTCACCAGCTGTGTGATCTTGAATACATAGTTTATCCTCTCCAAGGCCCAGTTTTCTTTGTAAAATGGAGATAAGATTGTCGGCTTCATACTTCAGGCCATTTATCGCCAGACTTAAGATTGAACGCGGAGTTTGGAGCCTAGCACATAGTAAGTGCTGGTGAAAGTGCTGGGGCACATAAAAAACAGTGAATCACAGCTGTGCGTGTCATTTGGAAAGAGTCATGACCTGGAGGAAATTGGGTTGTGCCTGAAATAAAATGAAATAAAACATTAAAAAGTTACAAACCTGGCCCAGCCGGTGTGGCTCAGTAGTTGAACACTGACCCATGCAGCAAGAGGTCGCTGGTTCAATTCCCAGTCAGGGCACATGCCCAGGTTGTGGGCCAGATCCCCAGTGGGGGCCATATAGGAGGTAGCCAGTCAATGTTCTCTCTCATCAATGTTTCTGTCTCTCTCTCCCTCTCCCTTCCTCTCTCTCAAAAAAATCAATAAAGAAAAAATAATTTTTTTAAGTTACAAACCTGAAAATATATAGTTAACCCTATTATGACTTACAAATGACAGCACATACCTTGGTGGTAGTCTAAATTAGAGTGCATTTATTTATTTATTTTTATTTTTTTCAAATTAAGAGAGCTTTATTAGCTGCGCGGCGGCTGTCCCATCCTACACAGAGGAGAGAGCAGCCTAGAGTGCATTTATTTAGGATAATGCACTACACTTAACATTTGACCCAAGGTCAAAAGCTGAAACTAGAAAATGCTAGACATTTTTTTTAAAAGTGAGAGAAACAAAACTACCAGACGTTCTAACAAAGACTGTTTATCCGGTCTCATTTTCCTCTTTGAATGGAGTCAGCACTTTTATAGTTTGTTTTGAAATAAGAGGAGAGAGAATGACATCCATGGGAACCTGGGCAACACCCAGTCTTCCCCGGCAATGGAGGTTCAGCCGAGTTTCTGCCAGGGTACAGGAATTGCTGGCAGTTAGCTCACATCCCTCTTGGATCAGCTGCTTGCTGATCAAATAAATGGCTTTTTATTTAACTCACCCGGGGGAGGAGGGGAGTATTTTTGGGTGCTGCAACAGAAGCAAAATGGCTTTTGTTGACAGTGATTTTCCAAAGCCTATATTGTTTGTTTATTGGCAAGCTTAAGAATTAAAAATATCTATAGATCCAGAATCATGGGACAGGGCCTGGGTAGGCCTATCTATAAAAAGAACCGCTCTTACAAAAAGAAACAGTGTTGTTTCTTTTCTGTACCACTTCAGGCCTTACAGTTAAAGCCAGGGAAATACGGCTTAGGGCAAGTAGCTGGGGACAAGAATGTGCACACCTGGTAAGTGCTTCTGGTGATTCTTGTACACCTTTAGTTATGTGTATTGGAGGGTGGGGATTAGTACTGGGGGGCTGCTAATTCTTTTACATTTCTATATTGTGTGTCTAGTTATATAATTTGTAATTTCAACAAACAAACAACCTATGTATGATGTCCAGTGAAGATATATGAGTATCAAATAAGTACTTGAAAAGATGTTTGAGATCATTAATCACTGGGGAAACACACATTAAAACCACAGTGAGAGCCTTGGCCGGTTTGGCTTAGTGGTTAGAGCATTGGCCTGCGGTCCAGAGAGACCCGGGTTCAGTTTCCACTAAGGGCCCGTGCCTCGGTTGCAGTTTGTCCCTGGCCCTGGTTGGTTGTGCAGGTGGCAACCACTCGATGTATCCCTTTCATGTCGATGTTTCTCTCTCTTCCTCTCTCTCCCTCCCACTCTATCTGAACAAAAAATGGAAGAATGTCCTTGGGTGAGGATATCAACAACAACAAAACCCACAGTGAGATATAGCTTCATACATGTTAGGTATGGCTAAAATGAATAAGACCGACCCTACCAAGTGTTAATGAGGTTGTAGGAGAATTGGAACTCATACAGTGTTGGTGGGAATGTAAAATGGCATCATCACTTTGGAAAGTTCTACATTTTCTCCCTGGCCGGTGTGGCTCAGTTGGTTGGAGCATCGTCCTGGGTTTTGGGTAAGATTCCTGGTTAGAGCACCAAAAGAACTAATGGATATCCTTAATAAGACATGGCAGATCCCAGAGGCTGACATTGATCAGTGCTTTTTGGATCTGGTAGTTTTATCAGTTTTCAGTCCATATTATTATCCTATTGCCTCCCCCACCTTTAGCCTCCATTATCACATCTTATTCCTTATTTGTAAGGATGTCACAAGAGGTTGACGTCAGCACCTTGTAGGTCCAGTTACACCAGCTTACAGCATTCCTTTGATCTACTGATCTAGTTAACTTTAAATAGGGGAATGAGGATAGTTTGGCATGATCTGTTTTATTTTGTTGTTGTTAGCCTACGTGGGCTTCAAGGGCTCTGTTTCCTTTTCCAAAGGTTGACAGACCATCTGTTTTAATCAGGTGGCGAAAGCCCAACTCAGCGTGGATTACATCAAAGCAGGGTAGGGAATGAAAATGTAAAAAAAGTCCGAAGGGAATCAGATTTCATCATGGCTGGTCTGAATAATGCCCTCAAGGCTCAGTCTCATGGTCTCTTTATCTCTCAGCTCCATTTCTTTGGTGTATAGTTCTTATTATTAGCATCATGATTACCTATTCTTGCCATCTGCTTCAATATGATTAGTCAGGTGCCTTTAGACAACTTCTTCATCCATCTGATCCATGGTAATGCAATGGTTTCTAGTTTAACAATAATGGTAACAAAAACAACAGTTAATATTTTTGAGAGCTTGCAATGTACCAGGCACTCTGTTAGTTACTTTCCATGGATTATTTAATTCTAAGAAAGGTTATATAAGTACCCCAGGAAAGCTAGCCAATTGATTGCAGCATCAGAGTTTGAAATCAGGTTTTCCAGCCCCAGGATCCGGGCTTCGAATTTTCACAGTGTCCCCTACAGTCACTCTTTTTTTTTTGTATCTTCACCCGCAGATATTTTTTCCATTTATCTTTAGATAGAGTGGAGGGGAGGGAGGGAGAGAGAGAGAAACATCCATGTGAGAGAGACACTTCGACTGGTCTCCTTCCAAAAGACCCCGATTAGGGCCACACCGAGATACGTGCCCTTGGCTGGAATCGAACCCGCGACTCTTTAGTCTGTGGGCTGACACTCTAACCACTGAGCAAAACTGGCCAGGGCCCGCCCCGGCCGGTTTGGTTCAGCGGTTAGAGCGTCGGCCTGCGGTCCTGAGAGACCCGGGTTCGGTTCCCGCTAAGGGCATGTACCTCGGTTGCAGTTTGTCCCCGGCCCTGGTCGGTTGTGCGGGTGGCAGCCACTCGATGTGTTCCTTTCACATCGATGTTTCTCTCTCTCTCTCTGTTCCTCTCTCTCCCTCCCACTCTACCTGAACAAAAAATGGAAAAATGTCCTCGGGTGAGGATAAAAAAAAAAAAAAAAAAAACTGGCCAGGGCCCTACAGTCACTCTTTAGAATACTGGTTCTCAACCTTGCTAATGCCACGACCCTTTAATACACAGTTCCTCATGTTGTGGTGACCCCCAACCATAAAATCATTTTCGTTGCTACTTCATAACTGTAATTTTGCTACTGCTTTGAATCGCCACTGGAAATATGTGTTTTCTGATGGTCTTAAGCGACCCCTGAGAAAGGGTTGTTCGACCTCCAAAGGGGTCGTGACCCACCTGTTGAGAACCACTGCTTTAGAGCTGAGAGGAAAGCAAAGCCATCAAATCTGTACCCATTTCTTACTTTTTCTGAACATGAATCCTAAAATAGAGTTGGCAGTCATAGTAGGGGCAGAGCTTTGGGGGTTCTTACAGTTTTGTCTATTCCAGATCCTTCTGGGTTTGAGAGTTGTGGAAGATCTTTGTACAGGACCCTGCCCTCTGACCTAGTGTGTATGTCTTTATGAACTAGGCTCATTAACCTATGTGGCCACTCTAGTTTCTATAGGTGCTTCCTCCCTTTATTCTCCAGCAGGGTCTTTGGCTGTCATGATGCTTGAACTTTATCTTTGACAGCCTCCTCTAATCCCTAGAGTCTCAAACCAGAGGTTTTTAAAAATTTTTTTCCTCTTAAATGTTTAAATTAACCTACCTCTAAAACCTGGGGTAGGAGAATGATAGACATTCAACTCTCTTTGCCATGACGTTTTACCTTCTGAAAGAACTTTAGGATGATGGTTTCTTACTTTCATAGATCTTCTTAGTTTCATTTCTCCAGTTCTTCCAATGTTCAGAATTAGGTTCGGAGTATTATTTCCCCCGTTACTTCCTTTGTCTTGAAAGGGCTGAAAGATTCAAGATGTCCATACATTTATTTAGTTCCTCTTCTTTCAGAGGAATGAAATATGGAGCAAATAGCCAGCTATTTTAAATGTCCTATCCTTATTGTAAAGCCATTTTTTTCTTGATCTTTCCGTAGTATCCAGGAAAATACTTAGCATGACGTAACTGCTCCAAATATTGTGAATGCCCAGATTCTTGTGTGCCATTGTGAACAGAGAAGAGAGAGGAGGAGAGAAGGAACTGTTTTATCCTGTCCTAGAGTCAGAAGTGATTGCTGCAGAGCATTCAATAGACGCTTATGGGCTGGACTGATTTTAGTTCCTAACTGGCTATCTCAGGGCACTGAGGAGATCTCAGGACTGAGCCTGGACTGGACTGTAAAGGAAAGCCACATTTCCCTCAGTGTGTTCTCTGAGACAAGCCTCCTTATCAGGCCAGACAGGAAATGGAACAAGGGCACCCAGCCTGCTCTCCTGGGCTTTTAAGCTGCATTTGTCCTGAGAGTGTTTGTTCTCTGCCATTCTATCACGTATGTAGATTTGTGTAGCCACCACCTCAATTAAGATAATACATCTGGCCCGGCCAGTGTGGCTCAGTAGTTGAGCATTGACCCATGCACCAAGAGGTTGCCAGTTCGATTTCCGGTCAGGGCACATGCCCAGGTTGTGGGCCCGATCTCCAGTGTGGGGCATGCAGGAGGTGACCAATTAATGCTCCCTCTCATCAATGTTTCTCTCTCTCTCTCAAATCAATAAAGAAAAAAATTTTAAAAAAAAGATAATACATCTGTTCTATCATTATAATTTATATATAATTTACCCATTTAAAGTGTACAAATCAGTAGTTTTTAAAAAAAATTTGTTGTCTTTATTAATTTTAGAGAGAGAAGAAGGGAGAGGGAGAGAGAGAGAGAAACATTGATGAGAGAGAACATTGACTGGCCACCTCCTGCACGCCCACACTGGGGATAGGGCCACAACCTGGGCATATGCCCTGACTGGGAATTGAACTGGCAACCTCTTGGTGCATGGGTCAACACTCACCCACTGAGCCACACTAGCCAGGGCAAATCAGTGGTTTTTGGTATAGTCACTGAGTTGTGCAGCCATCACAACAGATTTAGAACATTTTGATTATCCCCAAAAGAAACCCTGTACCTAGTAGCTACCATACCATGAGCTCCTAACCCTTCAGTCTAGAAAGCACTAATCTATATTCTGTTTCTACAGACCTGCCTATTCCAAACATTCCATAGAGATGGAATCATAGAATAGGTGGCCCTTTGTGACTGGCTCCTTTCGCTTAGCATGTCCATGTTGCAGCATGGATTAGTACTTCATTCCTTTTCATTGTCTATATAATGTATATATACATATTTTTTATCCTCATCTAAGGACATTTTTGCATTATCTTCAGATAGAGCAGGAGGGAGAGAGGGAGGAAGAGAGCGAGAGAAACATCGATGTGAGAGAGACACATTGAGTGGTTGCCACCCACACAACCCCAAACAGGGCCGGGGACAAACTGCAACCAAGGTACGTGGCCTTAGCGGGAACCGAACCCGGGTCTCTCTGGACCATAGGCCAACACTCTAACCGCTGAGCCAAACCGGCCAGGGCAATATATAATATTTTTAGAGAAATAAAAGTGTGTTTTCTTTTATTACATGGGCTGTACATTAACAAAATGGTGCGATGGAGAGCTTTTGCCAAGCCTGCTTGGAGGTCTAGATCGCAATTAACTGAAGTACTAATTAATGCTATTTTTCATATTTAGAAGTTTCCTCTAAAGTATTATGTATACTTTTTGTTTGTTTAGCAACATTTATGAGTAGTGGGACCTGAGTAGCTCTCCTGAAATCCTACTGGGATCTTTCTAGAGAAGTTGGACACAGGGTGGTGAATGTCAGCGATTCAGGCCAGGGACAGGTCAGCAGACCACAGGCAGTGTGCAGGAGCTGGATCGAGTTGTGCAGCAGCCGGATGTGTTCCAGGACCTTTCTAGGCCCTTTACCTTCTGAACAACCTCACTCTCCCCAAACACTCAGTTTGTACATTATCTGATCCATGGGTCAGTGTTTATGGCACAGGACAGAAACTTCTACTGCTGCTAATACATTCAAAAGGACATTTTATGAATGCAAATATGTAGTATTGTGAGGCCAGAGGAGGACACAAGATGAATTGGTGTTCATCTTGTCTCTAAGAGCTTGGTGTCTAGTCAGGAAGATGAGGCGTAACCTTAAATAACCCACGTACAAGGCTGAATGGGATGCATGCCACTTTAAATATTCAGAAATATTTTAACCATCAAGAAAAGAGCAAAGAACAATAAACAAATGCCTATGATATTACCAACTAGCTTTGTTTAATTTTAACATTTTTGCCATATTTACTTCAGTTTTTTTAAACAAATGAAACATTTCAGATGCTCAGCAATAAAAAGGAAGGAACTGTTGATGTACCCAACAACTTACATGAATCTCCAGGGAATTAGGCTGCTTGAATAAAGTCAGTCCCAAAGTCTTCATATATATATATATATATATATATATATATATATACACACACACACACACACACACACACACACATACACATACTGTATGATTTACATACATTCTTTTTTTAAAAAATATGTTTTTTATTGATTTCAGAGAGGAAAGGAGAGGGCAAGAGAGAGAGAAATATCCATGAGAGAGAAACATCAATCAGCTGCCTCCTGCATGGTCCCTACTGGGGATTGAACCTGTAACCCAGGCACATGCACTGACCCGGAATTATATATACATAATGTCTTTTCTTTCCCTGCTTATTTAATATATTTTATCTTATTGTTTGATTATCTGATGCTCTTGGGTCTAACCCTGCTCTTTGTTGTTCCTGATGATGCTCACTCACAGTGGAGTTCTTGTAATTCTGGATTTTAAATTAATCTTCAGAACGGGTTAACTGTTGAGTACCATGTGTCCTAGGTTAAGGATGTGCCCTTCTGGAGACATTTTATTTGTCCTGTGTGCACTCCGAGTAGCCTTAGTCCAGAATTGTTATTTTGTTTGTTAATTTCTCATCCTTGGGCTATTTGAACCTAAAATCCAGTGAAGGCAGGCCTGTTGTTATGAATTTTCAGAGGAGACTTTTTCGCTCATACCGTACCCAAGCCAGGAAGGAGAAGCATCTTTGTCATCTGTGAGGGTGGGGGGAGGATTTTCCTGATCCACCATTCACCAGAGTCCTTGGGGATCCCAGTTCTGTGACGGAGCTTGTCTCCAGATCCTGCCTGGGCACCAGTGCCCGAGTCCCTGGTTCACTGAGCCCAACGATGCCCTCTTCCCTGACCACTCCAGCCACTTGGGCCACAGCTGTATCAACTCAGCTAGCTGCTCCCGCTCTGGTTTTCAGCTCCCTCTATTTGGGTGCCCCGCTGATTTCCTTACGGTCTGCAAGCCCTGCAGTGCAGTGTAAAGGAAACTTGTTCTTGCTGATCTAGCGTTTTTAGATACTTTGTGGTGGGGAGGATTTTCAGGCCATCTTGTCCATTGCCATTTGTACTTTTTAAATTTTGAGATAAAAAAGGTACAGCCCTGGCCTGTTTGGCTCACTGCTTAGAGTATTGGCCCAAGGATAGAAAGGTCTCGGGTTCGATTCCCAGTCAAGGGCACGTACCTGGGTTGCAGGTTCGATACCCAGCCCTTGTTGAGGACGTGCAGGAGGCATCCGATTGATGTGTCTCTCTCACGTCAATGTTTCTGTCCAGGATGAATGGGTGTTGGGTGGCAGCAGGTGGGAGAGGGATTTGGATTTAGGAAGATAATGATCTTGGAGGCTGTGGAAATAGCCCAGGTGACAGTATTGCCTGAATGGGGTAATGGGATAGGGACAGGGAGAGGAGAGAACCACTGGGAGTGGGGGTGGGGGAAAAAGAGAGAGACAGACTCAGCTGAATCAGATAAAGAAATCTGGGTCAAGAGCTGGGGAAAAAATAGAAGAAACCAGACAAGCACACTGTCTGAATCCTGGGAAATGAATTTAAAATGTCAACAATTTTCTGAGTTGTGTTCTACCTTTTAGGTTGTTCAGATGCCATCCCCAAATGCACAGTTCATCTTGACTCTGTATGCAGCTTACAATGTTTTTAGGCCACCTGATGAATAGTTAGCTTTGGATTCAAGACAGCATGTCCCAGTGGATCTCCCGGAAATGAGCTGCGATGTGTTTGTCTTCCCCAGAACCTGCTGACATGGCTGATCGTGGGGCTGATGATCCACCCTCCAGGACAGGGAGTCCTGATGGAGAAAGTCAGGTCTCTGAGGACAGATGGTCACACCATCAGAGGCTGGCCATCAGGGAGCTCATTGACACCGAGGTCTCCTACTTGCACATGCTCCAGCTCTGTGCCTTGGGCATCAGGAGCCGCCTGAAGCAGGTACCTGGGTGGAGCCGTACACAGCCTAGGGACAAATCCTAGGGACAAATGTGGGTCCTAGGTTCTGAGACCTGACATCTGTTCCTGGAGCAGGCTTGATGCATGGAAAGTCATGGTGAATGTGAAGTCACCTGAATGTAAGCCCTGAACTTCCGTTTATTGGCTATGCAATCTTCAGCAAAGCCTTGGAGCCTTAGTGTGCTCATCTGCTAAATGAGGAGAGGGATAATCACCTCAGAGAATTAAGTGAGCTAATGAATACAATAGCCCTTTATCAAGTTTAGAACAGATTGCTTAAACTGACCTACATTCTCATTGTCTCGTTTGGGGGATGGAGGCATGGAGAAGTTTGCTATGATAGGTTTCTATTTAGTGTTCATTTTTACATCTTCCCCCCCACCCCTGACTTCAGGAATAATACAAGCTTTCTCTATAACATTCCAAGCATTCCTAACATGTATGCTCCTTAAGAGCAAAGACCATTTAGTTCAATATATCCCAGTTTTTGACACATAAATAATGGACTTTAATTAGTGTGTTTTTTTTTATCCTCACCTGAGGACATTTTTCCACTTTTTGTTCAGATAGAGTGGGAGGGAGAGAGAGGAAGAGAGAGCGAGAGAGAAACATTGACGTGAAAGGGACACATTGAGTGGCTGCCACCCACACGACCAACCAGGGCCGGGGACAAACTGCAACCGAGGTACGTGCCCTTAGCGGGAACCGAACCTGGGTCTCTCCGGACCGCGGGCTGATGCTCTAACCGCTGAGCCAAACTGGCCAGGGCTAATTAGTGTTTCTTAAATGAATGAAATACTAGACTAGGTAATGAAGAAGGTGAAATTTTACTCTCCAGAAACTAGGATTTTTCTCTGTGGGCATTAAACAAACAAATATAGATTGTTACGTATTTTAATAAAAGTAAGATCATACTCTAGATATTTTTCTACAGTTAGTTTTCCCCACTTGGTCACGCATCCAGGGTATCTCTTTCCATATAGCTATTTCCTCTGTATGTCCCTGCATATAAATAGATGTCCTGCATCCTTTTTAACAGTGGTACAGCCTAGTCCATAGGGGCTGGAGTTCAGAATACATCTCAAGGTCATGATGGCAGGTGCCAAGTATATCAGAGCTGGAAAGAAGTCCAACTTTCCACCCTATGTGACAGATGGGGGAACTGAGGGGAGAAAAATGATAGTTGGCAGTAGACCTAGGTTAAAACCCCAGCTTAGCTTTCCTTCCATGCTGAGTGCCCCATCTTTTCCTCTCCTCTTGTAGAGTAATGGAAATACCCACTTTATAAAATCCTGAAGTCCTTGCAAACATTCTGCTGGGGCAGAATTCCCAGAGCGATGGGCCCCTGGGGGTGTGAGTGTTCTGGACTGTTCCCCAAAGCCTGCAAATCAAGTCACTCCACTGACCTCCCAGTAACCTCCTATGGCTTTTTTGTTCCTTCCAGCTGCCACAGGGAGATCTGGATGTTCTGTTCTCAAACATTGATGATCTCATCAAGGTGAACAGCAGATTTCTTCAGGATCTGCAGGAGACAGACACCAGGGGAGAGAAACAAGTGCAGCTAATTGGTAAGCAAAAGACGAGGCAGCTGTCAGCCTTGGATTCCTGTGGAGTTGTCCTCAGCATGTGGTTATTGCTGAACTGTGCCTGGAGTTCCAGGGGGATGCAACTCAATCAAATCCAGGAGCCTGGATTTGAGATCCCTGAAAGCTAGCATGTCAGAGTTGGCAGGACTCTCAAATAATAGCTAGTCCAACCCACCGCTTTACAAAATGGAGAGTTCGAGAACTTAACATGTAGTAGCCCTTTTTATTCTCATAACACAATTACTTATTGATTATTATTATTCCCCATCTTACTAAAGATAAACCCAGGACTCAGAAAGGTTAAGTAACTTTCCCAAGGCCACACAGCTTGACCAGGAAGAATGAGTATTTGAACCCAGCCCTTTCAGACTCTAGAACCCTAGCTCTTGATCATCCTGCTTCCCTTTCTCGTCTTTCTAATTAATCCCAGCTAGAGGCAGAGTGCCCTTTTGACTCTGGGAGTAACTTCTTTGCTGCTGGGACTTCTTTACAATCTGTGACTGGAGAAGGACAAGAGGAGAGGAAATAAGGCTTTACTCTGGTGTCCCAGGCATTCCTGCCTCTTTGGACAGTTCTGCTCTTTGGGAGTTGGCCTTCCTCTGCCCTTCAGTTACTGACATACCCCTGTCCCTGGCCATACTGGTCTGATACAGTTTCTTTGGCACTGGTCACATTCCTGTGGAAGCACCCATGTTGAGGAGAAGGTGGGAACTGCCCTACATTCATGGCTATGCCCAAGTTATCTCATAGTGAAGATCATCTCTGCCGTTGGCCGGTTTCCCTATCACGCTGATTCGCCCTAGCTGCAGCTTTGAGTGACCTTCCGTTCTCCCTAGTTCTGGGGGCTTCTCCTGAGGGAGTTCTCTCTGAGGGTTCACTGGAACAGCACTGGGGAGGAGACTTGGTCCTGGGCTAGTCATCTTGCTGTGGGAGTCTTTGTCGAGGGCTGGACCATGTTGGTCTAGATACCATTTGATGTGTCCCACGGGGCACCTGGTCCAGGTCAGAAGCCCAGCCCATAGCTTTGGCAGGCAGTAGGGTAAGCTGAGCTTCCTGTGGTCCTGGCCTTCCACCTGCCCTTTGTGGTTAATACATTTCTCTTCACCCTCACCACTTCCCCCCTGATAGACCACCAAATACTCTTGCCCAGGTATTTGTAGCAGCTCTAACAGCAATTCCTGTTACCACGTTTAACCCCTCTTTAGCCTCAACGTAGTATAGATCTAACAAGATTTATTTATGTTTTTTTCCATGTTTATTTATTTATTTGTTTATTTTTGTTACAGATGTTTCTCCTTTTTTCCCCATTGATACCCTCCTTCCAATTCCACCCCCCTCCCCAGCATCATTGTCTATGTCCATGGTTATGCATACATGCATATAAGTCCTGTGGTTTATCTCCTCCCTACCCCCCACCCCTCTTCTAAGGTTTGTCAGTCTGTACCCTACTTCTATGTCTCTGGGTCTGTTTTGTTCATCAGCTTGTTTTGTTCATCATATTCCACAAATAAGTGAGATCATGTGATATTTCTCTTCCTCTGATTCGTTTGTTTCACTTAGCATAATACTCTCCAGGTCCCTCCATGTCATCTCAAAGGATAAGAGATCTTTTTTTCTTACAGCTGCATAGTATTCCATTGTGTATATGTACCACAGCTTTTTTTATCCACTCATCCATTGATGGACACTTGGGCTGTTTCCAGATCTTAGCGATTATAAATAGTGCTGCTGTGAACACAGAGGTATATATATTCTTTCTGATTGTTGTTTCAGGCTTCTTAGGGTGTATTTCTAGAAGTGGGATTATTAGGTCAAATGGCAGTTCAACTTTTAATTTTTTGAGATAACACTATAGTGTTTTCCATAGTGGCTGCACCAATCTGCATTCCCACCAGGAGTGTACTAGAGTCCCCTTTTCTCCACACCCTCGCCAACACTTGTTGTTTGATGATTTGTTGATGGAGCCATTCTGGCAGGTGTGAAGTAACACCTCATAGTTGTTTTAATTTGCATCTCTCTGATGATTAGTGACATTGAACATTTTTTCATATGTCTCTTGGCCATTTGTATGTCCTATTTGGAGAGGTGTCTATTTAGGTCCTCTGCCCATTTTAATTGGATTATTTGTCTTCCTTTGTTGAGTTGTGTGAGTACTCTATATATTGGAAATTAACCCCTTATCTGATGTATTGTTGGCACTTATGCTCTCACTTACAGTGGGTTCTCTTCTCATTTTTATGCTTGTTTCTTTTGCTGTGCAGAAGCTTTTTAGTTTGATGTAGTCCCATGTGTTCATTTTTTCCTTTGTTTCTCTTGCCTTAGGTGTTGTATCAGTGAGAATTTTGCTGCATGTGATGTCTGAAATTTTGTTGCCTATATTTTCTTCTAGGATTTTTATGGATTCACGAGTCACATTTAAGTCTTTTATCCATTTTGAGTTTATTCTTGTGGATAGTGTAAGTTGGTGGTCTAGCTTCATTTTTTTTTTTTTTGCATATAGCTGTCCCATTTTCCCAACACCATTTATTAAAGAGGCTGTCTTGACTCCACTGTATGTTCTTGCCACCTTTGTCAAATATTAATTGAGCATAATGACTTGGGTCAATTTCTGGGTTCTCTGTTCTGTTCCATTGATCTGTATGTCTGTTCTTGTGCCAGTACCAGGCTGTTTTGATTACAATGGCTTTGTAGTATAACCTGTTATGGTATTGTGATCCCTTCTACCTTGTTCTTCTTTTTCAAGATTTCTGTGGCTATTTGGGGTCTTTTTGGTTCCCTATAAAATTTGGAGTATTTGTTCTAGTTCTGTGAAATATGTCATTGGTATTTTGATGGGGATTTCATTGAATCTATAGATTGCTTTGGGTAGTTTGGAATTGCCATCATTTTAATGATGTTAACTCTTCCAATCCATGAACAAGGTATATGCTTCCACTTTTTTATATCTTGCTCTATTTTTTTTCTCAATGACCTGTAGTTTTCTGGGAATAGTTCCTTTACTTCTCTGGTTAAGTTTATTCCTAAGTATCTTAATTTTTTTTTGCGTAATGGTAAATGGGATTGTTTTTTTTAGTTTTTCTTTCTGTGAGTTCATTATTGGTGTATAAGAATACCATCAATTTGTTGATGTTAATTTTGTATCCTGCTTCTTTGCCAAATTCATTTATTAAGTCTAGTAGATTTTTGATGGAGTCTTTAGGGTTTTCCATCTATAGTATCATATCATCTGTAAATAATGACAGTTTCACTTCCTCCTTTCCAATTTGGATCCCTTTTATGTTTTCTTCATGTCTAATTGCTGTGGCTAAGACTTCCAAGACTGTGTTAAATAAGAGTGGTGAAAGTGGGCATCCCTGAACAGACTTTGTTTTTTAGAGCACTTTGTTTTTTAGTTTACAGAAAACTAAAGGAGAAAATATATAAAGAGCTTCTATATATTCCCTCCCCATAGGCAGAGTTTTCCCTATTATCAGCATCTTGTATTAGTGTGGTACATTTATTATAATTTATGAGTGAATATTGATATATTATTGACTGAAGTTCATAGTGTACATTGGGTTCATTTTTTGTGCTTTCGTTTTGTGGTTTAGACTGATGTATAATGTCACATAGCCACCATCACAGTATCAGACATGTAGTTTCCCTGCCCTAAATATCCTCTTGCCCTGCCTGTTCATCCCCTCCACCCTCCAAGCCCTGAAACCACTGATCTTTCTACTGTTTCCATAGTTTTGCCTTTTCCAAAATGTCATATTGCTGGAATCATACAGTATATAACCTTTCTACAATGGCTTCTTTCATCTAATAATATACATTTAAGGTTTCTCCTTGTCTTTTCCTGGCTTGCCATCTCGTTTCTTTTTCTTTTTTATCACTGAATAATATTTCATTTTAGGGACACAGCACAGTTTATGCATTCACCTACTGAAGAACAACTGGTTGCTTCTAAGTTTTGGCAATTATGAATAAAGCTGCTATAACCTTAGCATGCAGTGTTGTTTTTTAAAAATGTTTTTATTGATTTCCTTTTAGAGAAAGGAGAAGGAAGAGATAGACACATCGATGTGAGAGAGAAACATCGATTGGCTGCCTCCTGCACGCCCCCTACTGGGGATCAAGCCCACAACCTGGGCATGTGCCCTGAATAGAAATTGAACTGGGACCTCTCAGTCCACAGGACCATGCTCAATCCACTGAGCCACACCAGCTGGGCTTAGTGTGCAGTGTTTTTAAAAATATTATTAAAAAAAAATGTTCGTGGTAAAATATACATAACATAAAATTTACCATTGTAACCATTTTTTTTATTTTTTATTTTATTTATTTATTTATTTTTTTAATGAATTTTTATTTATTTTTTTGTTACAGATATTTTACCTTTTTACCCCATTGGCACCCCCCACCCCACCCCCCCTCCACCCTGTCCCCGGCTTAGTTGTCCATGTCCATTGGTCATGCACACATGCATATAAGTTCTGTATAACCATTTTTTTTAATTACTCCTCACTTGAGGATATTTTTGCCATTGATTTTCAGAGTAGAAGGGAGGGAGGGGGTGGGGAGAGAAAGAGAGAGAGAGAGAGAAATATCAATGTGAGAGACGACACACATTCCCACATGTACCCTACTGAAGCTGGGGATTGAACCTGCAACCCAGGTACATGCCCTTAACCAGGAATCAAACCTACAACCCTTCAGTGCTAGGGCTGGGGGCTAGGGGAAATAACATGATGCTCTAACCATTGAAACACACCAGCCAGGGCCATAGTAACCATTTGTAAGTGTACAGTTTAATGGCATTAAGCACATTCACATTGTTGTACCACCATCACCATCATTCATCTCCAGAACTTTTTCATCATCCTCAAATGAAACTCTACCCACTAAACCAGCCCTTGGTAACCATGATTCTACTTTCTGTCTCTGTGACTCTGAGAACTCTAGCTACCTCATATAAGTGGAATCATACAGTATTGTCCTTTTGTGTCTGGTTTATTTCACTTAGCATAATGTCTTCTAGGTTCTTTTTGCACTTTTTATCTTGACATACTTTTAGACTTACAGAAAAGTTATAAATATAATAGCTCCTATATACCCTTCATCCAGCTGGACATCTTACCTGTCCATAGTACACTTACTGAAACAAGGAAATTAACACTATTAACTCTACAGACCGTATTCAGATTTTGCCAGTCTTCTATTAATGTTTTTCTTCTGGTCCAGGATCCAATCTAGGGTACCGCATTTCATTTTATTGTCACGTTCCCTTAGTATTCTCAGTCTGTGACAGTTCCTTAGTCTCTCTTTGTCTTTAGTGACCATACTTCTGAAGAGTTCAGATTTATAGAATATGCCTCCATTTGAGGTTCTCAATGATTAAAACTAAAATTATTTTATATAGTTCATAAAAGTTTATATATAAAATCTATATTTTATAAATTTGTATTATAATAAAATTTTATATGTTACATTTTATATGATTTACAAAATTATAATTTTCATTATTAAATTAAGGCTATACATTTTTGGCAAGAACATCATAGTCAATGTCATGTTCTCAGTGCATCATATCACATGATTGCACTATATATTATTACTTAGAATAACATTAACTTCTGTAGCTTATAGAAGATTGTATCTTCTAGATTTTCTACTGTAAAGTTACTGTTTTTTCCTTTGTAATGAACAAATACTTGTGTAGAAAATCTTTGACATTATGCTGATGTTCTGCTTCTTCTCAAACTTTAATCCACTAATTTTAGCATCCACAAATGGTTCTTGCTACAATAATTATTACTGGTATTCTAATGGTAATTTATATTTCCCTTATTCCTTTTATGTTTATTAATTAGAATTATCTTAAAGAACTATCCTTTTTCCCCCATTCAGTTCTTTGTTCAGTTATTTATTTATGTCAGTGTGGACTCCTGTATTTTTACTTTATTTCATGAGGGAGAAACCAGTACTATTGTGATTTATTTTCTTGCTCAAATTGTACCAATTTTGGCCATGGGGAGCTCCTTCAGGTTGGCTCCTGTGTCCTTTTAATGTGCCTCTAACAATTTTTGAGTGCTTCCTTACTTTCTGACACCACAAGATGTTCCAGACCCATCTTGTATTTTTCCTGCCTCATCCTTGGAATCAACAATTTCTCCTTGGAGTCCTGGTTTCAATCTTTGGAGAATGGTATTTAGACAACAAGTTCTAGACTCTAGGTGTGTTCATTGCTCCTAGGTGTCATTGCTCCTATGGTATCATTGCTCCTAGGCCCTCTCAGCTGATAGAGAGGGCCTAGGAGGTAGGAAATATATGTTTCTGTGCTAATACATACATATACACATATCTATATATTTTTCTATATCTATTTTTCTATATGTAAGACCATGAGTTCATACTGATACCTCCAATTCCACCAACATCACAAGGTTTATTCTAACCTTTCCCCTTTTCTTCTTGGCAACATCTTTCAATGACAGAAAGAAATGGCTGTCATTATTTACAATATATTTACTTATTTGTTCAAAGTTAGAATACACATAAAGTAGTTCCAGAATTGCTAACCTGTACGACTGTCAAAAACAGATACTTATGTTTTGTTTTGTTTTTTATCCTCACCCGAGGACATTTTTTCTATTTTTTGTTCAGATAGAGTGTGGGAGGGAGAGAGAGAGAGAGAGAGAAACATCGATGTGAAGGGACACGTCGAGTGGTTGCCACCCACACGACCCAACCAGGGCCGGGGACAAACTGCAACCGAGGTACGTGCCCTTAGCGGGAATCGAACCCGGGTCTCTCAGGACCGCAGGCCGACGCTCTAACCACTGAGCAAAACTGGCCAGGGCGATACTTATGTTAATTTGTTCCCCACACCCTTCACTGTGATTATGTTATTCATTTGTAATAAAATTAGGCTCATTCCTATTACTTGTATTCCATTTGGGGTTCCCTTTCCACATCCTGGTTGTTAATTACATTTATATATCATATATACTTATTGAGCTCCAGAGTGATCCTTTCAAAACCAGATCATATCACCTGAGCTCAAAACCCTCCAGTTGCTTCCTGCCACCATTAGAATAAAATCCAGACACCTTACTCCACCTTACCTACTTCCTCCAAGGCCCTCCATGGTCTGGCTGCAGTTTCCTGTTCATTTTCTCAATGTTGTGCCCTTGCTCACTCTGCTCCAGCCACAACTGCCCTCTTGCTGTTACCCGCATGCCAAGTGCTCACCTGCCTTCAGGACTTTGTATCTGTCCTTCCCTACGCTGGGAATGCTGCTCTCCCAGGGCTGGGTACTTCTGGTCTCTAGTAAACATTCTTTATAGAAGCCTCCCCTAGATAGATCTCCTATTTCTCTCCAAGTCTTTTTCTGTCTGTCTCGGTTCACGACACTCATCACTACCTGGCATATGTACGATATTTATTTATTGTCTGTCTCCCCCCTAGAATATAAGTCCCATGAAGCACAGCCTTTGTTTTGTTCATAGAGCTTAGAAGAGTACTTGGCATATAGTCAATAAATAAGTAATTGGTAAATATTTGGTGAATGAGGTTTGTATTGAATGTTTTGCATGCATTCATTTAATCCTCATTAAAAAAAAAAAAAAAACACTTGGAGATGAGTACTATTTTTATTCCAATCTATAGATGGGAAAATGGAGGGTCCGAGAGGTCAAAGTCTTGCCCCAGATTGCACACTGGGAGAGAGTTGACTGGAGATCCGGCTGTAGTTCCCCCTGAGTCCGAAGCCCATCCATGCCTGTCTCTGTGCTATAGCGTCTCTTTGCAGACTGGGGGTTAGTGGTTGTACTTGCCACACACAGTAGTTGTAAAAATATAACATGGGTGCATTTTGTCAACTGTAAAGCACTGTACAAATACGAGCGTTATTGAAATTACTGCTCTTATTATAGCTACCATTTATTAAGTACTCGCAGTGTGTTAGCCCAAGCTCTACATCATTCTGTCACCTAATCCTTACAGCAAACTGATGGAAGTGAAATGAAGCAAATGGCAACTCAGAAGATGAGGTAGCTTGCTCAAGGCGACAGAGGGGGTTAAATCGGCCCTTGTCTCACTCACTACCTCCCTGTCCCAAGTAAGGGGCCATACAGACATGCCTTTGAACTCCTTGCTGTTTTTTCACTGTCAGGTAACTTATTCCTGGAATTCCAAGAGGAGTTGGAGCAAGTCTACAAGGTCTACTGTGCCAACTATGACCAGGCCTTGCTGCTGGTGGAGTCATACCGGAGGGAGCCAGAGCTGCAGCGGGAGATCCAGGGCATCATTGAGGCGGTGGTGTGAGTAGAACGGCCAGTGAGCCTTTGATCCTGCTGCATGGACACCAAGTTCAGGGACCGTTGAGGTCTCACCTTCATTTGGTGCTGCTCACATAGCTCAGGAGTGTCTCAGCCAGGCTAGGCTAGGCTGTGCTGCAGAAACAAACAACTCCCAGCTCCCAGCGGCTTCAAACCACAAAGGTCTATACCTTTCTTTCCACCACTGCGGGGTGACCCAGGGCTCTTTGCATCATTCTCACTCTGGGATCCAAGCTGACAGCAGCCACTGTCTAGAATATTGCCAGTAATTGTGGCAAAGGAGAAAGGAGCTCTGGAGGGTTTAACTCTGGTAACCGAATGCTCCAGCTTAGAAATTATATCCATCTTTCTCGTAATTCGAGGGCCAGAACTAATTGCATAGTTTTATCCAATTACCAGGAGGCCAGGATATGCTATCCTGCCATGTGTCCAGAAGTGGAAAAGCAGAAACATTTGATGAACAGCTTTCATGCCTACCATAGGAAGGGCAGTGAAGTGGGGGTGGGGGAAGAGAACCATGTGCTGTAAGCAACAGTGTCGGAAGCAGGTGTGTATCACCTGGGGAGGCCTCTCTACAGATGGTTGAAGTCCTGCCCCATGGAAAAGGAGCAGAACTGCCCTGTGGCATCACAACCAGAGCTGGCACCAGTAGGTGAAAGCTCCAGATAGAGACACGGAGAAAACAATTTTTTAAATAGAAATTTTAAATGGGTAAACATAGTTACATGGTTCAAAATCTTTAAAACATCCAAATTTATACAGTAAAAAAGATCTCCCCAACCTCGCTCTTTTAGTCACTCATTTACAACTCCTATCCCCAAAGTTCAGGTAACCTCTTAAATTTCTTTATGGATCTTTGTGGAGTTCCTTCTTGCATGTACATGCAAATTCAAATATACACTATTTAATAGCTACTTCTCCAGGGCTGGTTTATGGTTTATTTAACCATTATCCTCTTGATGTGGATGTTTGGATTGTTGCCAGTTTTTTACTGTCATAAATATAGTTGCTGAATAACTTCTACCTTGCTTGCTTGAGTTGATATTTCTGTGGCTAAATTACTAGAGTAGGATTGATGGCACAAAGGGTTTGTACATTTCACATACTGCTGACCTGCTCTCCAAAGAGATCTCCCCATTGGATGCTCCCACCAGGAGGGCCTGCTTCCTCACACGTAGTTCTGGGTATTGTCTTGTCATTTTTGTTGCATGTCTGAAAGGCCGCATGCACATTTTTCTCCCCGTTGCTTTAGAAAGGCCGTACGGGTAGGAGGCTGCTGTAACTCTGTAGTGACGTTATTTGATAATTGTGGAGAAGGGCTGTGATCATCTCTTTGAAGATCCTCTACTCTCTGATTCATGAGGTGACAGTTGTCCTCATGAGGCAGTTGGCTCTTCCTATGGAAAGTAAGCCCAGAGGACAGAGTTTTGCCAAAATCTGGCAATTGTTTCCACCGCCCCTGCCCATGGTCAGCCAAGCACTAGGAAATGCTCGCTGAGAGCAGATGGTCCGCGTAGGTGTGTCCTGACGATTTGATCCTGGCCATGCCTCTCTACCCCCTGCAGCTCATGAGGGGGCTTCCACCTGCTCTGCCTATTTTTAGCCTCATGGATGATCCTTCCTGGCCATTTGGTCTGGAGCTTTTCCCTTAGGAAAAAGAGCAAGAGGCTAGGGTACCACAGTGAGGGGACCAGATAATGGTTGTGAGCAGCATTTGTGAGTCTTCATGGAGGAGGCATGCTTGGACATTGAGGCTTGAAACACTCATGGACTGAGGGATACTGGTCATGATCAGGGAAAGACTTTTGGAGATAACCTAGATGTCCCAGATGCTGTTGACTTGGGCACTCTGTCTGCAAATACCAGCCATCATCAAGAAGGGGATTGGAGCCTGGCCGGTGTGGCTCAGTGGATTGAGCGTCCTCCCGTGGACTGAGACATCCTAGTTCGATTCCTGGTCAGGGCACATGCCCAGGTTTTGGGCTCGATCCCCAGTCGGGGGTATGCAAGAGGCAGCCGATTGATGTCTCTCATATGGATGTTTCTGTCTATCTCCAAAAAGTCAAAACAAACATTTTTTTTTTTAAAGGAGGGAATTGGAGAAATAGTCATCTGTTCATGAACTAGAGCATCTGGAAGAAATCTTGGTACTATTAGTTCCTGTGTGCTATTTTTTACTTTTTTAAAATGAAAAATGTCAAACCTATAGAAAAATAGAAGAATGTAATGAACACTCACACACCCACCACCTGAAATGAACCAGTGTTAATCTTTTGCTGTTTGCTTCAGCTATTTTTATGCCAAACTATTTTTTTATTTAATTTTTTGTTTTATCCTCACCTGAGGACATTTTTCCATTTTTTTTCCCGATAGAGTGGAGAGAGAGAGAGAGAGAGAGAGAGAGAGAGATGTCACCGTAAAAGGGACATATTGAGTGGCTGCCTCCCACATGACCCCAATTCGGGCTGGGGACGAGTCACAACTGAGGTACATGCCCTTGACCGGAATTGAACCTGCCACTCATTGGTCCACGACCACTGAGTCAAACCGGCCAGGGCATGCCAAACTGTTTAAAGGAAAATACAGATGTTATGACTTTTCCCCTCAAATAACTCAGGTGTATCTCTAAACATTAAGCTCCTGTAATTTAAAAAAAAAAATTACATCTGATTTTTTTTTTCCTTTATTGATTTTAGAGAGAAAGGAAGTGAAAGGGAGAAAGAGATAGAAACATCAATGAGGAAGAACATTGATTGGCCACCTCCTGCATGCTCCCCACTGGGGATCAGGCCCACAACCTGGGCATGTGTCCTGACCGGGAATCAAACTGGCAACCCCTTGGTGCATGGGTTGATGCTCAACCTCTGAGCCACACTGTCTGGACAAGCTCCTGTAATTTTTAAAGCTTTTCTTTTGTAAAGCAGCAGAACCATTTTATTAAGTGAAATATGTGGATGCCCAATATAGAGAGTTGAGCTTGGGACATATCCAAGTGGAGATGTTAATAGGCAGTTGACCATGTGAGTCTGGAGCTCTGGACAGAGGTTGAAAGTGAAGATCTGGGTTTCAGATGTATTTAAAGCCATAGGACTAAATGAAGTCAGTAAGAGAGTGGGCAGAGAGGGAGGAGAGGAGGCCCCAGAGCACCCCAGCATTGGAGAGAGGCCAATAGAGTTGGCCAAGACAGAGGCCTTGGAGTATGAGAAGGACAGAGGGCGTCTCTGGGGCCAAAATAAGAACATGTTTTGATAAAAGGAAGTGGTCATCTGTGTTTGCTGTTGAGTGAATGAGTAAACTGAGGGCAGGAAACTGGCCATTGGGTGTGGCACAGATGGGGAACCGAGGCCCAGAAAGGGGGTAAAATGAGATCCAGCAGCATCCATCTAACTTCTAGATCCCACAAATTTCAGATGAGGAAGCAGAACCACAGGAGGAGGTGACTTGCCTCAAATCTCTCAGTGAGTTCAATGGCAGATCTGGAACTAGAAGTGCAGGCCCCCTGTTGCCCCCAGGGGTGGGCTTTACCTATCTAACACCAGCCTTCTCCCTCAGGCCACAAGCTGGACCCTCAGGCCTCAGTTTCTTACTGGTCATCCCTCTGCAGAGGATTACCAAGTACCCATTACTGCTGCAGAAAATTCTGGAGAACACACTCCCTGATGCCAGTGCCTATCCTGTCCTCCAGAGGGCTGCCTCTGCCCTCCACGATGTGAACACCAACATCAACGAGTACAAGAGGCGTAAGGAATTGGGTAAGAACTTGGGCAATTTAGAGAATACATCAGTGATGCCCTGGCCAGTTTGGCTCAGCGGTTAGAGCGTCGGCCTGAGGACCAAAGAGTCCTGGGTTCAATTCTAGCCAAGGGCATGTACCTCGGTTGTGGTTAGTCCCCGGCCCCCTTGGGGTCATGTGTGTGGCAGCCAATCACTGTGTCTCTCTCATATCGATGTTTCTTTCTCTCTCTCTCTCTCTCTCTTTCTCTCTCTGTCTGTCTTCCTCTCTCTCTCTCTCTCTCTCTCTCTCTCTCTCTCTCTCTCTTCCTCCCACTCTGTCTGAAGATAGATGTAAAAATATCCTCAGGTGAGGATTAAAAAAATATATGTAAAATACATCAGTGAACATATGTCCAGTTATAAAAAAACTCATCTCAGATTGGCTTCACCAATGAAGGGTTATGTAGTAGTTCATGTAACCACAAGTCCAGAATTAAGTGGTCTTTAGGTAGGGTTTGATCAGGGTGCTGGTTCAGTTTTCCTATAATTCTCTTCTCTCTGCTGTTTACTGTGTATCACCGGGCTGGCCTCCCTCATGTACTACATGGCTGTTGCTATTCTAAGACACACATCTGCATATCATACCCTCCAAGACAAGACAGGGCCTTTCTCCTCTTAGCCATAAAATTAAACTGGAGCTTCACTCTGATAGGACCCACTTGGGTCATGTGCTCACCCTGAACCAATCACTATGTTAGGGGAATGCCACGAGCTGATTGGCTTAGACCTGGGTTATATACCCTTCTTTGAACCAATCACTGTGGCCAGGGGGATGGGATTATATGGATTGGTTTACAGCACTTAGTACCCACCCCTTGAACTAAATTGAGATCCGTCCCACCCCAACCACAGGACTGCTATACTGTGGAGGAGAAATGAATACTGGGCAAAGGACTGAATGTATACCTGGGCAGGAGAGGAGATAAGTCGGGATCCTGCCTCTCAGTTTGTTAAAACAGAGAGGTTGAAACAATAAAGCAGTGTCCCAAGGAGACAGAAGCTCATTTGCACAACTGAGACAATATAAAAACGATAATTTAGCTAATGTTTACTAAGGGCTATGACGTGTTTTTCTTTTATTATCTTGTTTGATCCTCTGAGGTTGGCACTGTTAGTCCTATTTCACAGTTGGACAAACTGGGAGCTTTAGTCATTTGCTCCAGGTCACAGAGCTGGTAAGGGACAGAGCCAGGTTTCAAACTCAGGCTAGGGGTCGGGCAGTCAGTAAGTCCTGAATCAGGAGTGGGCAAGTATGGTCCCAGTTTGGCCAGGCTAACAGTGACCAAGGGACTTCAGGCAAATCACCTCTCTCTTGGGTTCTAAGAAAGTAGATTCAGACCCAGCATCTATGTGGTCCTCCCAGCAGTCCCAGGAGCTGACTGAGATGAGAAAACTGAGACCCAAGAAGTGGCGATTTGCCAAAGTCAAGCAAGCTGTCCAGGGCTCACACCTTGGAGCGAGAGCTCAGCCCTGTGCCTGTGTTCCCTGACTCACCTCCATTCTATGGATGTGATCCTGACGTTGAGCAGAGGGCCCAGTTGGGTGCTTAGCCAGGTGTGCTGGATGCTTGCGTTCCTGGGTCAGCTTCTGTCCCCATGTCCTCCCCCTGTCGGTGCAGCTTCCAAGTACACCAAGGTGGAGCAGCTCAGCCTCCGGGAGCGGCTGGCCCGCATCAACACGCACACCCTCTCCAAGAAGACCGCTCGGCTGAGCCAGTTGCTGAAGCAGGAGGCGGGGCTCGTGTTCAGGGTGAGCATGGGCAGGAGGAAGGGTCACATCCCAACCATCCCAAGGGGCAAGCAAGACTGTGCAATGGATGGGGCAGGGGGCTTGGACTGCTTTCAGAGATGAGGAAACTGAGGCTGGGGGAGGGAAGGCCCAGTTACAGGCAGAGTTAGCACCCCACTTGACTCTGTGGAGCCTGGATAGGGCTTTCTGCACTGCACCTTGTACTGTTCTCTCTCTGGGACCTCTTTACACAGACAGGAGAGCTAACCTCTGGGTCTGGGCATGGAACCAGCTCTGATGGCTACCAGTACCAGCTCAGATCAATTGAGTATTACTCTGAACCAGGCATTACTTGATACATACAATGAAGTAGGCGTTCCTATTACCCCCCATTTTGCAGATGAGAGGCTCAGAGAGGGTAAAACACTTGCCCAAGGTCACACAGCTTAAAAGCAGGTGAACCAGGACTCATATGCACATGTGTTTGATTCTGTGGTCGGAATACAAAACCACTAAGCTGCACTCCCTGCCTCTCTAATCGTCCCACTCAGCTTTGGGGCTGGAGGAACTGGTTCTGATGGGCAAGTCTGGAGAAAGGTGTTCCCCAGTGAAGACTTGGGGATGCAGATGTGTGGTATACACTGCCCCCATGTGGATATTTTTGGCCCTCACAAGCGTAACTTGACTGTCAGACAGAAGACAAGGAATTTGATGCCTTAGAAGAGAAGTTCCAGGGGGTGTCGCTGTGTGTGACTGAGCTGAGAAACAACGTGGCTACTTACATGGACAATCTGGAGGTAAGGATCCTGCAGCTAATAATGGGCGGGGTTCCCAGGGCAGAAGGCATTGAGGGCCCATCCAACAAGCTGGCAAAGGTGCCAGCTGCAGGAGACGCATGGACGAGGTCTTCCTGAGGCTGCAGGCCTGAGGGGGCCCACAGGCAGGCACACCTCAGCCCACAGGTCACTAGACTGGGGCAGCTGCTGAGCCCACTGAGCTCTCAGGCATTAGGGTTCCCACTGGGCAGGGTAAGAATTCACTGGGGTCAGAGCCCTGAGAAGAACCCTGCCACACTGGCACCCAGAGCAGGGGTGACAAACTCAGGTGCTTAAAGGGGCCAAGCAGGTAACATTCCTGAGGGAGGTGTACATGTATACAAAACCTAATGTCTGCCCTGGCCGGCTTGGCTCAGTGGTTAGAGCATCGGTCCACAGACCAAAGAGTCATGGGTTCGATTCTGGTCAAGGGCATGTACCTCGGTTGCGGTTCGGTCCCCAGCCCTGGTCGGGGTCGTGTGGGAGACAGCTAGTTGATCTGTCTCTCTCACATTGATGATTTTCTCTCTCTCTCTCTCCCTCCCACGCTGTCTGAAAATAAGTGGAAAAATATCCTTGGGTGAAGATTAAAAAAAACAACAACTAATGTCTGTTTATGAGACCTTTTTGGTAGTTAAATCAGTAATAATATTTGGAATTTGGATGACTGAATGAACGAATGAATGAGTAAAATCTCACGGGATTGTTATTACTTGACTTGGGGGAGTTGTTGCTACGGGCCTAATGCAGCCAGTTCTGATTTTAAGGAAAAAAAGAAAATTGGAAATTCAGAGTTTTAGTTGAAATCTCAAGATGCGACCATGAGAGCAGCTAATTAAATGAAACATTTAAATGTTATTGAGGCCCAAGGAAATGTATTTCCATAAACTGAAGTCAGCCCACAGGAACAGCAGGTTACGTTCCCATCCAGCATGTCACTTTCCTTGGGCCAAAACGCCCCCCTCATTCTCGTCATCGATGTTGACTCATCCCGTCTACTGTGTCCCGTTTACATGGTTTTGTTCTCGGCCTTGTTCATTTGCACAGACCAGCTCAGTCACTAGATAATGAGCTATTTGGATAATGGGAGTGGCGGTGGCATTATTGGAAGTATGTACAAGGAGGAAGGTGGCCGTTTCACATTTCTCTGTGTGGACACATCTCCCTGCTTGTTTCTGCTTCATCCTGGTCTTCCAGGGGAAGGATCTGAGCATCACGGGAGATGGAAGGGGAAGACACTCAGGGCCTTGAGGGAGAGAACCCAGTGGCACCGGAGAGAGAACGTCTGGCTTTGCAGAGGAGAGACGAGAATTGGGAGCTTTCAGGCTGCCTTTCCCTGGAGGCAGGACTCACACCACAGAGCTAGCGTTGGCTCGGAATCCCTCGGGGACAGAGCGGTTCCCTGAGTCCGGGAAAAGCCTCTGTAGCTGGCACGTTTGTAGCACAGGCAGTGGCTGGGAGCCTGCAGCAGGCAGTGACATCCAGGCAGAACTTAATGACTTTGTTTTTACAGCAATTATTCTTCCATGCCTATTTTTTTTCCTATTTATCTTCAGATAGAGTGGGAGGGAGGGAGAAGGAGAGAGAGAAACATCAATGTGAGAGGGATACATCGACTGGTTGCCTCCCGCACAACCCTGACCAGGGCAGGGGACGAACTGCAGCCGTGGTATGTGCCCTTGACCAGAATGAGCCGGAACTCTGGTCCAAGGGCCAACGCTCTAACCAGTAAGCCAAACCAGCTAGGGCTCCATGCCTATTTATGGCGATTATTACTGGTTTCCCCTTTATGTTAGTGTCATAAGGGGTGTGTGTGTGTGTGTGTGTGTGTGTGTTTTGTAATGCATTGATTTAAGTAGGAACTCAGTTGATTTAAAGAAAAGTATTAATACAACATGTGACATACAGACATGGGAAAAAAATCACAAGGGAGGTATGCAGATGTGTAAAGATTGGTAAGCGCTGGAATAGAGAGAAGATGTTGGATTAGTCTAGAAGGAACTGTCTAATCGACTAAGTTGTCCAGGAATAGAAAAGGCTGTGTGCTTCCCTGTCACGGGATGTGCAGACGGCCCGGGCAGCCTCTTAGGGATATGGTGGAGGGGATGCAGATGTCAGATGGCCATGACGGGCGTGATTTCCTGTCTCTCATTTGCCCTGGTCCAGGCTTTCCTCCACTTCCGGCCGCAGGAATCCGATCTGGACATGCCTGGGGGGCCTGTGGGGCAGTACTGCAACCTGGCAAGAGACCTTCAGCTCCAGGCTTTTCCTGTGTTTGTGAGTGGAATTTCTCCTTTCATCTTTCTTTGTTGGGCAAGTGACAGAACCTATAAGGAGAATAGTTAGACATCTGGCCCTTCACATGCTTGTCACATCCATAACCACCCTGAGTAGTCAGCAAGGCAGATACGATTATTAGTGTATTTTACTGAGAAAAATAGCCCCAGTGAATGTTTGCTGAGCCTTGCTGTCTGCCAGGCACTGAGCTAAGCCCTTCGAATTCTTCACCTCATTTGGTGCTCACAACAGGGCGTACGGGGCAGATACTACTAATGGCCCCATTCTGCAGGTGAGAGCTGAGGCTCAGAGCGGGTGGCTGCCCACGTGATTCTGATGGTCAGTGGCAAGCTTGGATCTGAGCCTCAAAGTCTATGCTTTTGACCACCGCTCTATACAAAATCTTTTTTCAAGACCTGTGCACAGTACCAATATTAGGAAGTGACGTATTAAATACCAATTCTGTTCCAGCTAATCTCATTGCCTGCACTGTCCCTATTTTTCAGAAGGGTACATTGAGGCTCATAAAGGTTAGATGACATGCTAGAAGTCACAACCAGTCAGTTGGGGAGCACTGGCGCCCAGGCCTGCCTACCTTCATAGCCCCTTTTCCCAGTACCTACCCACTGCCACCTCTTTCTTGGACTCCCAAGCTCCCCTCCCCCCACAGAAGCAGCGGCTGGAAGGCCTGGTGTGGCAGCCGCTGTGCAGCCTGGCCAAAGCTCTCGCCGGCCCTCGGAACTTGATCAAGAAGCGTCTGGACAAACTACTGGACTTTGAGCATCTGGAAGAGAAGCTGCTGGAGGCGGGCAACGTGACCTACGAAGAGGAGGAGGCCCGGCACACGTACCAGGCACTCAACTCCTTGCTAGTGGCTGAGCTCCCGCAGTTTAACCAGCTGGCCATGCAGTGGCTGGGCCAGATCCTGTGCACATTCGTGGCTCTCCAGAGGGACCTTGCCGAGCAAGTGTTGCAGAGGGCAGAGGGCAGCTTGGCCCAGGTAAGGCCTCTGGGACTGGGCTCCTCTGGGGAACAGCCAGGCAAGGCCTTGCAGCGTCTTTAGCAGGAGCGGGGGCAGGGGGAGGTTAGGCCTTCCAAACAGGCCATCAGGTGCTTAGGAGGAGGCCGTGGGGACCTTCTGGATCTCTCTCATGCCTGTTCTTCCTTTAGTGGAGTCGGACCATGAAAGCAAGCACAGAACTGGGGCTCCAGGTCATTCCCAGGCTCTGAACTCGGAAGCAGAGAAGGCTCTGCTGGGAAAATAGCAGACCTGGGGGCTGTTCCCAGGGGTAGATTAGATATTGGTGGCAGAGACAAGGTCCCTTCTACACAGTCAGTACTAAATGTATCCAGCTGGTGTTCCTGTGACTATCACCACTTCTAGCAGCCGCCTCATGAGCACGTACTGTGTATCTGTTTGGAGTACCTTCCATGCACTAACTCACTCCTCAGACAACCCTGCAGAGAAAGTTTTGTTATTGTCCATATTCAAAAGGATGAGGAGGCACAGAGACGTTAAGCAGTTTGCCCAAGGCCACACAGCTAATAGTGGGATGTGAACCCTGACAGTGAAACTTTAGAGCCTGGGCTCTGGGCCGACGGCTCAGCAGCCTATAAAAAGGAGCAGTCTGCTGAAAGCATAAATAGGTCGCAGAGAGGGTTGGATACACCTCCGAGGGCAAACTGTGATTTTGGAATTTTGAAGACCGAGGTTGATCTAGGAAAGAATCCTCAGCTGCTTTGAGATGGCTCCCTGATGTCAGCATCAGAGCCGAATGGCCTGCGGGTCCGAGCTTGGAAACAGTTGCAGTACTGCACATGCCATATGCTGTCTCCCGTGCTTCATGTTCCCCAGCTCAGCTTTCCCCATCTAGTTCACTGCATGACAATTCCTCAAAATCTGCCCCGCCAGCACCTTTCCAGCCCATCGTCCTCTGCGAGCCCATAGCTCCCACGTCCAGTACCTCACGTCTGGTCCGTTTGCACAGACTCCCTCCTCAGTCTGGGTACCCACACCCGTCAGCCCCCCTGCCTTTGACAATCTCTGGCATGTCGTAGGAACTGCCCGGATATGTGACAGATGAACAGGTCTGTCCATGAAGCTCTCAGAATCCGTGTCCCCCAGGTAGGAGGCCCCATCGCCCCATCCTTTCTACTCCAGCAGCCCCTAGAATGTGCCTCTGCCAAGTGCTTTTCAGAGCCCGCTTTCTGCTGGGGTGATGGATGAAGCTGTTTCTCATTGAGGGGAACTGGAACTGTGGGCCTTTCTTCTTTGGGGCCCTCACAGCATTTAGTACAGAGTTCTGTTTCATACTCTTTTTGAATTGAATTAGGCTTGAACCAAATGCAGGAAGAAGCATTTCTCTTTCCTGAAGGCAGAGGGTAAACCTTTTTAGATGATCTTCTCATGCTCCTCCCGCCCTCTAGTGTTCTCTCCAGACCCCCTTGTATTTAGGCTCGGATGTGCCTGGCTGGGGAGTGTTATAGATGCTGGTAGGGGAGATCAATTGTATAAACGCAGAAAGAGGGCATGTCTTGGTGAGCCCTGTAATGTAAAATGTGAGGGCCTCCTCGCCGCTGTCCCGTGGCCCATTCCCTGGGACTCATCCTGCGGAGCCTGGGAAGACCTGCATGGTAGGACCTCGGTCTGTCTGCATCCTGGGAAGTTGGGGAGGGAGGCTCTAAATCAGAAACAAGAGCAGTGAGTTTGATGACAAGCAGAGAGGACACGTCTCTGTTAGCTGTGGGGACTCTCTCACCCCTAGGTTGCCTGAAGAGAGTGCAGGAGATGCCTAGCAGGGCCAGTGTCCGGACAGAGCGTTATTCAGAACTCCTTGGGGTCCAAGCCAGGTTAGGCGTAAAGAAGGATGTATTGTCTGCATAACTGGGCGGCCAGGAGGGAATCCAGCCTGAGGCCCGGCTGCATCCAGCACAGATGTTGTCAGGGCTTGTCCTTCACTCTACCCCCCGCTCTGTTCCCCTCTCTGGATTAGCTTTGTTCTCAGACGGACCTGTCTCTGCACGGTGGGGAGAGGCCTCCCCACAGCTCCAGGCAGTCACCTGGACACCTCAGAATCCACAGGAAGAATAGCCCTCTCACTGCCAGCCTTCACGTCCTAAATCTGATCGGAGGGCTCCGATTGGCCCCGTTCGTGTCCATGGTCCGATCCTTGGACCGTTCGCGGTGGCTCGGAGAAGGGATGCCGTGACTGCCACTTCTGTGGCTAGAGCACCAGGATGGGCAGTTCTGCAGTTTTACTGGGCCCCCAGAGAAGGAGCTTTCTCAAAGGAAAGTAGGGCAGAAGGCAGAAGAAAAGACAGCAGACCAGGACAGAAAGGCCCATCCTAACACATCTGGGGTTTACGTGTGAGCTGACAGCCTCTGTCCCCCCGCAGCTCCCCCACCACCACCTCTCTGAGCCGGCCTTCAGGAAGCTGGTGGAGGATGCACTAGGCCAGGCCGGTCACCAGCTTCAGTCCTTTCAAAAGAACTTCGAGAAAGTGCTGCCACCTCCCACTGTACAAGTAAGTGACCACCCTTCACCTGCCCATGAGGTGAGGCTCAATCCCTGTTTCCTCTTCCTGTTCTATTTTCAGTGTCTCCTGTTACCCATGGAAACACTCCCGCTTTCCCTCTCGCCTTTCTCTCTGCGAGCTGGGGGTGGGGTTGGGCAGGATTCACACCCCATGCACACATGCTCTTCATGGCCAGTGAGCATCAGAGACGAACAGAACTGTTGGATTAAGAATAAGAAAACCCACCCTGGCTGGTATGCTCAGTGGTTAGAGCGTCGTCCCAAGAACCAAAGGTTACAGGTTCAATTCCCAGTCAAGGGCACATACCTGGGTTGCAGGTTCGATCCTGGCCTGGGTTGGGGCACGTGCGGGAGGGAACCAACCCATGTGTCTCTCTTACGTAGGTGTTTCTCTCTCTCCCCTTGCCCTCCCTCCCATCCACTCTCTCTAAAAATCAATGGGAAAAATATTCTCAGTTGAGGATTAACAACAACAACAACAAGAACAAGAATAAGAAAACCCAAATATTTTAAGTGAAATTAGGCATAATAATGAGCAAGTAGCATTTAACATCCAAAAACCTGGAACTTCAAATTTTTCATCAAAATTATTACAATATTATTGAGTATATTCCCTGTACTTCATATCCCTGTAACTTAACAAAGTTTGTATGCTATGGAGTTATTCATTGTAAAATACAGTATTTCAGTTCCATCATCATTTACAAAACTTTGGATGGTTAAGTGCTTTTCTTGGTAAAGTACGTTTCATTAAAATGTAAGGAAATGGGCCCGGCTGGTGTGGCTCAGTGGTTGAGCATCAACCCGTGCACCAAGTGGTCGCCAGTTCAGGGCACATGCCCAAGTTGTCGGCCCGATCCCCAGTGGGGGGCATGCAGGAGGCGGCCAATCGATGTTCTCTCTCATCAATGTTTCTATCTCTCTCTCCCTTCCTCTCTCTAAAAAAATCAATAAAGGAAAAAAAAAAGTAAGGAAATGGTATTTTCCAGTCAGTCCACTTGAAGACTATGCCCAGGTAGTGTATGTTTTAAAAGTAACTGAAGTAGCCCAGCAGGTATAGCTCAGTTGCTTGAGTGGTGTCCCGTGCGCCAAGAGGTCACCGGTTCGATTCTCGGTCAGGGCACATGCCAGGGTTGCAGGCTCTATCCCCAGTAGGGAGTATGCAGGAGGCAGCCAATTGATGTTTCTCTCCTACTGATGTTTCTATCTCTCTCTCCCTCTTCCTTCCTCTCTATCTAAAAATCAATAAAAAATATATATATAAGTGAAGTAGCTAAAGGGAAAAGGGGATCACAGGGCTTGAGAAAATGGAAGCTATGTTCAGTCACGTGTGAGGTGTGAATCGAAGGGTCAGGAGACGGCCCCAAGGTTTCCCAGAAGGAAGCAGCAGCCCAGAGACAGAGAGACGAGTAAAGGAGCCCAGCAGGGCCGGGCAGGTGCGGGCAGCCGCGGGCAGCCTTCGCACTTGTCCAGAGCGCAGAGAACGTCAAAGACCATCAGAGGTGTGTGTCTGCTCCGGGGGTTGGGACTGATACCCCTCGGACCGGCCTTCCCCACTTCCTCCTCCCACTCAGGCTGCCCCATAGAGGTCTCACGGGGGTGTAACATGGGCCCTGTAACTTGGGGGAGAGGAACTGAGCAGAAAAGGAAGAACAGAGCAGCCACTCAGTTGAGTCATGGGAACTTCCTCTCTTTCTACTTAAAACAAAATTACAGGGTTTTTTTTATTGGAAAAACAAGCCATGCTGATTACAAAATAAAGAAGACTCAGAAAAACAAAAAGAAGAAACAGATGGGAACATGATAATCCCAGTACCTGTTGAAAATTGGTAGGAAGAGAAGAGACCCCCCTCTTCCCCACCTCTGTCCACCACCTCTCTCCACCACCACCACTACCACCACACACACACACACCTCCCTATAAATCCCTGACTTATTTGGCTAAGGGGAGAGAAGTGAGGTGGCCCACCCAGGGAATGCTGCTGTCCTGTGCACAGGTAGGGGCTGTCACCTTGAGAAGGAAGGCACATATTTGCTACACCACTGACTTTTATACTCATGTTAGCACCACTGGTCGAAAAAAAAAGCTGCCCATCTCTACACTTCCATTTTAGGGCCTGTTTGAAATGTAGGTTTCTCCTGGTTTCTTGATCCTGACTCAGTGAACCCATTGGAGTATGGGGAATAGCAGAGTCTGTACCTCAGTGTCCCTGAAGGGCACCTCTGTCTATCTCCCTACACCCAGCACCTCCCTACCCAGAAATAACTAACCACATAAACACTGTGAATATAAATACTTACATATATGTATATAGTAAGAGAAAGAGAATATATAGTAAATCTATATTCAACATTTTTAGTTTCTTCTTTGCTTTACAAAAAGGGGACAGTCACCCGAGTCCCTTCTTGTTTATATTTTTGCTGGAAGTAATGAATGAAAAAATGAAGTTCCTGCCAGGAGAGTTTTGGATGCGCTGAATCATTCCCCCCAGCCAGGTGGCCGCGTCCATCAGGGCAAAGCTCTCGCCCGTGTTTCTGCTACACCATTCGCAAGGCTTACCATGCCTTGTAAACAGTAGGTGCCCAATACATACTTGTGGACTGAAAACTCACAGTAAAAGATTTCATTCCCACGTGTGGGAGGTCTCCCTGTGTCTGCCCTGTGCTGGTTGAGATGCCCGATGAGTAAGGCCTGGTGCCCACACGAAGCTCACAATCTAATGGGGTTGAAAGACCCAGGCACAACATTTCTCTGGTGGTCATTTTAGCTTGGTGCTATGGCAGAATTTAGAGCCCAACCCTGGAGTTCTGTAACTGAGCAATTTCAGAACCCAAATGAGAATTTTAGAAAACCCCAGAAGTTTAGACCTGGGAGGGGTTCGGAGATTAAATGAGATGAGATGCCCTTGGGTACTAACTGCATGTGTTTCGCATCTGCTCCAGCTGTCCGTGAGGCAGGGGGCTGTTGGGCAGATGTTGGCCTCAGCTTTGACACCCTAACTCAAGCACCTGTTTGTCTCTGTCCCCCGTCCCCTCAGCCACTCCTTCCAGGGGCTGAACACCAGCTGCAGGCTCTCCTGAGCAGGTATGGCCCAGGGAAGCTGTACCAAGTGACAAGCAGCATCAGCGGGGCAGGGACTCTGGACCTGACATTGCTGCGGGGCCAAATCGTGGCCCTCCTCCAAAACAAGGACACCAAAGGCAACAGCAGCCGCTGGCTGGTGGACACTGGGGGTAGGTGGGACTTCGTGGGCCCTCCCCCTCCCTCTGGGAAAGCCGCCCAACAGGACCAGTGGGTGCCCTTGTGGGCCCGAGGCTAGCTGTGCAAACCCCAGGTGGGAGTGAGCCGAGGTGAAAACAGGGCTTGGAGCACAGTCGGCTTAGTGCGGTGCATGAAATTCCGAAGAGTTGTTCAGTCTTTCCTCACAACATCTGTCATCAGGCACCTCCTGAGTGCTGGGTGCTGTGCAAGGAAGACATGGACCCTGCCTTGGGGACCTCACAGCCCACTGGGGTGGACAGAACTTCAGCATCACCCTGGGGGATGGAGATATGCAGAGAAGGGTGCTTGGATCCCAGCCATGTGGACAGACGTCTGATGTCCAGAATGAAGAGGGTCCCCTCTGCACTGGTTACACCCTTGGGGTGTGGTGTTCAGGTCTGGGTGCCCCAGTGTAACCAGGCAGGAGGCAAGTGGCACCATGGACCCAGGAGGAGATGGACCAGTGGAGTCCTCCAAAGAAGACATGCCCCACAGGATGATTGGGAGGGAGCCTGTGGACAGGTTTTCCCCGTCAGTTCATTACCATTGTTACTTAAGGATATTAATGTGTATTAGAAAAAAATAACTAGTACATCAGTCCATGACTTTATTTATGCTATTATACAAGTACACTTCTAAGTTTTAAAAAGTGAGTCTGAAAAAATTAAGAAATCGGTGTAAATCCAGCAGAAAGCATGAAAGGGCTGTCTCAGGACTGAGGTGGAAAACAGCTGAATGGAGGTTAAAACAGTCCCCGGGTCACGAGGAGTGGGTGTGGATCCCAGCCCTGCCACTTAGCTGACTGCAGGGACTTGGGTTCGGAGCCTCTCCAGGCCCGGTTGGCTCCGCAGTCAAGTGGAGAGTTGATGTGAAGACTCGATGATCAGTGCTGGTCCTGGCACCTGGCGTGCGCTCGGGGAGGGGTGGCCATTCGTGATGACAGTGGCCAGAACAGCACGGGAGTCACTGCTACGGGAGAAAGAACTGGGGGCCCTTGGAGAAGGGAAAGGCGGTCCTGGGGGAAGGAAGCAGCTGTCTCCGAGCCGCCACCTCAGGGACCGGCGGTGCACCTCCAGGAAAGCAGTTTTCATCTCAGACCGAGCTGTTTCAAACCGGGTGGGCTGCCTCAGTAGGGAATGAGCTCCCTGTCACTGGGGGTGTGCAAGCAGAAGGTAGAGCACTGAGTGCAGGGGTGGGCAGTTGTGGGTTCCTAGATGCCCTTTGAGTGCTGAGAAGCTGCATTGGAAGCACTGACCTCCATGCATGGTGGCGATTTCCTCTGTCACTGAAAGGGATGGAGATGGTGGCCGGTAGCCAGATAACGTTCTGTATGTCCACAGGACATCGAGGGTACGTGCCCGCTGGGAAACTGGAGCCGTACCACATCGTCCCCAGTGAGGAGAAGCCCAGAGGGCAGGCAGCGCCTCTTAAGGACTCCCAACATCTAACAGCCGAGTCCACCCCAGCCCCAGTCCCCTCTGTCCCAGCTGAGACCCAGGTGAGTTTGCGAGTGGAGTGGGGGTTGCCTCCCACAGCCACCTGGAGTGGGGCTTTGACTTTTCTGCTGTCTGGAGGGGCCTTGACTGGTGGCCGCCAGTGTCCTGGCCAGGGTGGGACCTGGAGAAAGGAAGTGCCAGTACACGCTGCCACATTTGTTAGACACGGAAGGCCATGAACTGTGTGATTGTGTTTGTATGACATGCTCAGAGACGGAAAGAGCAGTGGTTGGCAGGGCTGGGGGAGGGAGGGGTGAGGAGTGACCACTAATGGGTGTGGCATTTCTTTGGGGTGAAGATGTCCTGGAATTAGACAGTACAACCACGTGAATACATTACAAACTACCTGCGTGGCCCTGGCTGGTTTGGCTCAGCGGTTAGAGCGTCAGCCTGTGGTCCAGAGAGACCTGGGTTTGGTTCCCGCTAAGGGCATGTACCTCGGTTGCAGTTTGTCCCCGGCCCTGGTTGGTCATGCAGATGGCAGCCACTCGATGTGTCCCTTCACATCGATGTTTCTCTCTCTTTCTTCTTCTCTCTCCCTCCCGCTCTATCTGAACAAAAAATGGAAAAATGTCCTCGGGTGAGGATATTAAAAAAACAAAAAACTACGTGTGTGATTTTGAATAAGTTCCTTAACTTCTCTCAGCCTCAATTTCCGTATCTGAAAAATGGGGCAAACAGAGTCAGAGGACTGTGACACAATGGAAACGAAGCCAGGCAAGCACTAGAACAGCGCCTGCGCGTTGTGGGCGGCGCGCTGGGAGCAGCGTGGTCCTGAGCACAAAGGAGGTGCCTGGGGGGCCAGCACTGCCCAGCAGATTGGCTGGGAGGGGAAAGCAGCCTCTCTGGGTTGGGTCTGTCTGTCTGTCTGTCTGTCTTCGCAGCCTGACGATTTCTGTGTCACTCCCCAGGTGTTTCAGGTGGTCGCAGTGTACCCCTTTGTGGCCAGAAGCAGCCATGAAGTGAGTCTGCAGGCAGGCCAGCCAGTGACTGTCCTGGAGGCCCAGGACAAGAAGGGCAACCCGGAATGGAGCCTCGTGGAAGTGGACGGACAGAGCGGATATGTGCCTTCCAGCTTCCTGGCCCGGGCACCGAGCCCGGCTCCGTGGGGCTGGAGTCTGCCCTCCTAGGGCGCCTGCCTCGGAGCCCATGTGGCCAAGGGATGAGGATTAGAGGCTGTGACCCCAGAGAAGCAGAGAGAAGGCAGAGTGGAAGGGGAGATCAGGCCAGGGTAGGGTGAAGGGCACCCAGAGAGGTAGGCAGCCCTTGCAGAATGCCTGGCATGGGTGGGCACGAAAGACTCCAGCCAAGATGACTCACGTTGTCTTCATAGATTGTTGTCACCCAGAGTCACAACATCGCGGTGGCAGGTCAAGGTGATAAGGATTTGCCGTAGCGAATGGCCAGTCTTCCCTGTGCCCCCATGTGGACCTGCCCATGGAGGGGGTCACCCAGGTGAAAGTCACCTGTGTGCTGTGCGGGTGCAGGGAGGGATGCGGGAGAAGCCCAGAACCGCCTGGCCTGACAGTTCACTTCCTACATGTGGCACCAGGAGGCCCCATAGCCCACCTGTCAGTCATCTTTTATTTCTCCATGCTGGGAGCTGACTTATCTTGGGCAGTGAACCCCCAGGAGCCCTCTCTAGTTAGGGAGCAGCAGCTTTTTTGGACAATGGAGAGGTTGCCAGCCAGAACAGTCTTGCCCAGGCCTGGGAGTGGGTGGGACCAAGTCACAGTCCTGGAATGTGGTAGGTAAATTCAGAGCCTGTTCTGGGGAAGAGGAGCTTTGGAGGGTGTGTGGGGTGGGGTGTGTGAGGCTGTTACCAAACCATTGCACACTGTTGCTGTGTTCTCAGAACTAGGAGACAAAGGGACATGCAAATCCCAAAGGAAACTGTGGAGCAGGGGATTACAGGGCTGGTGGGTGGGGGAGGTTAGGCAATGGCTTGGTTTTCCCTTTCTGGGAGACGGGGCACCAGAGGAGCCCCAGGTGATTTCAAGAGGCCACCGAGGGCCTGGAGGCAACGGTGGGTGTGATGTCAGGTGGCTGTGCGACCTTGGATATAGGACACAACCTCAGTTTTCCCATCCATAGAGACCTCACTCCCAGGGTTGTGGTGAGAAGGACACGCGGGTAAGGCCGCGGAAACTGCTTGCAAGTGGAAGCGTATATAAATGTACGCTGCTGCTGGTAGCAGGGTGTGCCGGGAGTGGTCTCGGGCGGCCCCCACATCAGCGTTCACGCTGTCCCTTCCCGTGCCCTTGGCAGACATTGTTAATCCACGTGGCGTCCTTTCCCATCACCCCAGGATCTACCGCAGGCTCCTCCATCCTGCATTCCAGGGAGCCAAACCCTGGAACTTGGTGAGATCAAACCTGCTGTCCTCCCTTTCGAGAACCTGGAAATGGGAGCCCCTCAATAAAAGCCGACTCATGGGGCAATTTTGGGTGCAGCCACTGTGGAATCATCTCTAGGATGTCGCTTTGAGCGAAGATAAATGGCAAGACTCTCAGAAGAGCAGGAAGATGGATCTGCATGATCTTGAACACAAAGGACAAAATTTGGGACCAGCCCAAGTCAGAGTGTGTGTAGAAATGTGTGGCAGTGAAGACTCAGTTCCAAGAACACCTCTCTTGTTATAACTAGTGCCTGTAACTGCTAGCTCTGGTTCTTAGAGGGCTTTTAAGACATATATACTTGTCTGTGTCAGACAGTCTGCAGCTCACCTCCTGTGGGCGTGTGAAAGTGTGAAGAATGCGTAATTGCAAGGGAAACTCAGTCCCCACAGTCCCCTTCCCAGCCCCAAATTCACTTTGCGAAATGCTCTTGACTCGTTTCCCTTGCTCTCTTCTCAGGTTTCTGATACGAATAGAAAGCAGAGGGGAGCAGATAATACAATAAGAAATCCATCTGCGGTCCCCCAATGCTGACCGAGAGCCTGCCGTGTGCCAGCACTAGCTCAGGGTTTCTCCATGTGGCCGCTCACTGAAGTCACCCGGGCAGCTTTCCCACGACTCACACCAGGACCCCACCCGGAGATTCTGATGGAATTGGTCGGGGGAATGGCCTGGGCCTCAGGACCTCAGAAAGCTTCCCAGGTGCTTCGTTAATGTGTGGCCAGGGTTGGGGACCTCTGCCCTAGACACACAGTGGTGGATGAGAGACCTGGCATCAGAACTGGCCACAAGCTGAGAGCTGGGACATGCCCCATCTGAGCTTTGTCCTAGCTCAGGTGTTTTGAACAGGCAGCTTCAGAGGTGGTTTGCAATAGGACAGCCTGTTCTGTCAGGTCCCAGAATGTATAAAGTGCCATTAAAAGGGACCTGAACAAAATCGGATGTTCTTGTAGGCATAAGGAAGAAAACAGAAATACACTTGGAACCAAATCAACCCTGTGAATGGAAAATTAAAATATTCACATGGGTTATGGTTTCTTGTGGACCAGGGAATAAGGTTAAAAGTCACTAAGGGTGAGAAAATGCACACTGAGAAGACGGAGCATGGCCTGCATTTTCTCCAGGAGACTGTATGATGTGCCCTCACCCCCAATGCCTAGGACCATTGCACTGTGTCGTTTATTTCACTGTTGAACTCGCTGAGGTATTTGCCTATGAACCGAATAAGTCTATGAGTTGAAGACTGATTCAAGGGGGGGCCCCTTGCTCCCTGCAGCAGAGGGACACCGCTTCAGCCTTTTGGGCCCCGGCCCAGTTTTGGACAAGATTACAATATCAAAGGAAGGGTGAGTGGATGCTTGGTTAATAGGATGAGCTCTAGCTTGGTGAATAACTGATGTGAACTTCTGGGAATAAAGGACTTCACAGGTGAAAATGTCTGGAATTTGTGTGACTCTAACCACTGGATGGGCAATGCCCCAGCGGGACATTTGTTCACTGGGCACTTGCTATACATAAATATGGCACCTCATTCATTTGTATGTTCATTAAGGAGTGTCTACAGCACATCTTTGGTGCCTCCTGGAGTTGGCCTTACCTGCTGGTGATACAGCAAGAGGTCAGACAGATGGGGGCCCTGTCCTCCCAAAGCCTACAGTCTGGTGGGAGAGACAAGTCATCAGTCAGTTAAATGCAGTGTAAGTGTTGGGATAGGGCAATAACAGTGCCACCAGAGCCCAGGGGAGGGCCCAGCCCTGGCTCAGACTTGGCAGCTCAGGAAGCCTTCCTAAGAGAAGTGATAGGCATGCTGAGGCCTGATGGGTAACTAGAGTTGAGTGAAGGTGGGAGGGAGGGTATGTGCAAAGGCCCAGAGGTAAGAGAAAACAAATGCTGTGGAGCTAGAACACGGTGTGTGGGGGGTATTGGTGCAGTGAGAGAGGCATCGTTCAGAGAGGTCGGCGTGGTAAGGAGCTTCGGTTTTTATTCTGAGGGCCATGGGGCACTGAAGGGTTTGAAATGGAGGAGTGACATGCCCAGGTTATATTTTAGGGTACAAGCTCTTGTTCATTCCGGAATCTCCCTGAGTGTGTCACGTGTCTCAGGTAATAGATGATCTGTACATCTCCCTCAGATACACCTCCCAGAGGGGATGGGAACACGGAAACCCTGCCCCCGAGGAATCTCCCTTCCAGCTGGAGAGGCAAGACGTGTGAGCGTTGGGCAACATTTACCTGGCACCACAGGGCAGGGCACGAGGGAGATCTGAGGGGGCTGAGGTGGTCCCGGAGGCTTCTTGGAGCAGGCGGGGCCGGTGCTGGGCTGTGTGGGATAAGTAGGATTGGGGAAAGCAAAAGGGAAAGGAGAGGCCATCCTAGGCCTGGGACACCATGTGGTGGTGTGAAAAGTGCCCAGAAGTTTGCCTTAGAAAAGCCGAGTTCAAGGCCTGCTTGACCACAGGCATGAGGAAAGGCACTTCCTAGCACGTGAGGAAGTCAGAAGGGTCCTCCAGCTTCCCGTGTCCTCCCTACTCAGCCCCGAAAGTGCTCACTGTAGGGTTCTGCCTTATCTCAAGGAGCCCTGGCTCCCTCTGCCAGGACCTCACTTCCAGTGTGGGATCATTTTAGGGCCTCTCGTGGCAGGGAAGGGACTAAATACCCAGGACTGGGCATAAGGACAGAGCTGGTTTCCACTCCAGCAACGTCCGAGGTGCTAGGATCCTGAGCAGTCCACACGTGTGTTTGCTTTCTTTCTTCATTAGGTATTATTTTTTCTATTACACTTTACACTCAATATTATTTTGTGTACAGCATAGATGATCATATACGTTACAAAGTGTTCCCCTCGAGCTCATCTGTTTTCTCATTGGTAATTTCTGAACTTACCTTTTCTGTTTTCTCATCTGTAAAGTGGGTACAATTCCTGTTCTCCCAGGGACTCAGTGAAACAAGCAGCACAAATGGTATCACATCAGGAGCGTCGTGGCTGTGCAGTGAGGGAACATGTGACCTGTGACCAGCAGGTGGCAGCAGGGCTCTACAGTTCAGCTGAGGGAGGACCTGGAGGCGAGGCGTCAAACCGGGCAGGTGGTGCATATCAGGGGGGGAACAGGTGAAACACATTAGGGAGTGGCGGAGACTGTGCTGGACCCAAGCATGCATGCTTAGTCTAGTCTAAAGGAGCAGCTTCTTGGCTCCAACCTCTGTTGCCACAACAGAACGAAAGCCCAGTGGTGCCAGATAGTCTGACTTTTTGAGAGAAACCAGAAACCAGTTTTTTTTTTTTCAATTGATTTGAAAGAGAGAAACATCCATTTATTGTTTCAGCCATTCACACATCCATCATGTGACCTGACCAGGAATTGAACCCACAACCCCAGCGCATCAGGACAACGCTCTAACCAACTGAAGTACAGGGATGACGACCATACCGCTCTGAACGTGCCCTGTCTCGTCTGATTTCAGGAGCGAAGCAGGTCGGGCCTGGTTAGTCCCTGGATGAGTTTTGTTTTAATATTCTGATGTGACGACTTCTGTGTGGCAATTGTGTGGGCCACAACAAAATCCCTCTTTGTATCTCCTGCCTGAGTGTGGGTGGACTGTCCTGGGTGGAGGATTTCTTCTGAAGAACTAGTTTCATATCTTTATATTTCCTGTGCAATGCCTTCCTGTGTCTCCACTGGACTCATCTAACCTTTGTTAGATTTCTGGGGGGCAAACAAAACAAAAACAAAAGATCTCTGGGGAGCACTGTGTCCTTGTATGCTACCTTTACTTGTCATCTCGAGCTTTTGCGAAAT